ATAAAGAGAGACTCGCCTGCACTTTATTCTCTTCCATAGAAGCAAATGCATTTGGTGCTTTTTATACATTAATCAATCAATATCACTGACTGTACATCAGCAGCGCAGCCAAGTTATGAATGACCTTTCTGGCAAAGAGGACATTTTTAATGCTCACAAAATTGCTCAGAGATTTGCAACTTTCTGAAGTTAGGCCTGCAGGGCTGCACCATAAAAGCCAGGCTCTTAGCAGAACCTGCTGGTTTGCGTAGGCTCAGAAAGGGGGTCACCCCACCCGCTCCTGAGGGTACAACCCTGTGCTATCCCAAGCCCCAAGCCAGTTCTGGCTAAGCAAGGGGATTCCCGCCTCTAGGGAGGCCTGGCCTTACGGCAGCAGTCTCCCCGCTCTCCGCCCCAAAGGAGACCCACAGAGGGCTGCTCCTCGAAGGTAACTGGCCGGCTTTCTTCAAGCCGCCTGGAATTGGCTGTGCTGCAGCTGGAACAAACTCCAAGAGGGCCACCTTCCCCACACTTAGGTTTATGTTTCCTTGAACCATCCACAGCGGTTCCACTTTCCCTTCCTGAGGAATGAGCCTCCTCAGCATCTCTACTTTTATGTAAGATAAAAGCAATACGGCTAGATTTATAAAGGGGGCCATAGAGTTCTCTCAAATTCGAAAGAAGTGATTCCTAAAACACACTATTGACATTTTAAAGATAAAATGTTCAAAATTTTTAGATTTTTTTTTTCTTTTAAAGATAAAAAGTTATACATAATTTTTCAGAAAAAAATTACCAGAAGTTTTCCCTGGAAGTATTTCAATATTCCAAACTGACTTGGCTTCCTTCAATAGCCGGAGCAGCCAAATTTATCCAAACTCTGCAAGCCACCCAGCTATCCCAACTGGGCCTCTCTAGAGGGTCTCTCCTGGTTCCAGCTGATGGGCAACGGCTGCCCTTCCCCGCCTCCTGTGGTCCTCATGCCCGCTTGAGAAAAGGCAGGCCAAACGCTCCAAGGAGCCTCAGCTGGGGCTCATCCCATTGCCCCACCCCGGGGGCCAAGCCCCCATCCCCTCCTCCTTTCCTCCCATCATGGCCAGGCGTGTCCAAAGAGGGTAGCCCTCTCACCCAAACAGGGTCTGCCCAGCTGCGTCCCTGGACCCAAACAGGCTCACGGCCTCCTGCGAAAGCAAGCTGGGATGGTTGCCTGACCACAAAGGCTACAGGCCAGCCGGCGGCTGAGAGCAGAGGAACCAGGTGCCCGGGCAAGGCGGAAGGGCCAAGAAGCCCCAGCCAATTGCTTCTTTCCAAGCAGAAGGATCTACGTTGTCCAACCTGGCCGTATCATCGTCATGGTGATACAAATGGCAAAGAGGAGGGAGGAGGGGTGGTTAGGTCTGACCTACAGGGCAGGTAGACAGAGATGGCCCCATAAGACCTTCCTCCCCAATTAGCCTGGGAGGAAACCTTCCTTCTTTCTGTGCAGCACACACAGGCCCAGATCTCCCGGGAGGGAGAAGGGAAGGAGGCTCACAGGCGAGCCAGCAGCAACTTACATCACCCTGGAGGCCTCGTTCTTTCAATTCACTTATTTGTTATATTTATGAAGCCCATTTCATGGTTGGAGGCAACATTTTGGGTTTGGGGTTTTTCTGCCCATTTTGGCCCTCAAGCAGCCCGCTGCGAGCCGTTAATAATCCCTGCATCCTGGGAGCCCCACCGGCCTTCTTTTTCCCTCTCTGCTTCACAAACTCTGAGAGTCTGCAGTCCAGCTGCCAGCTGCTCTACCCAGAAAGTGCTGGCAGTGTGGCCATTTTGAGAAGAGCGGGCAATATTTACCGAGCCACACACTGTAATTATACATACCTGAACAGGTAAGATACCTGCTTCATTCTTATCTGGTGGCAAAGAAGAGGAGCTCAATTCACTGTTATTCCCCCCCGCCCAAAAAAGCTACCATGTCTGTTCTTTCCCAGGCATAGATTGGCAGAAAGGAGGGCTGAGCGCTGAATGGGTGCCCTCCCCACACTCCTCTGTCCCTTCCAGCCCAAGCCCAATGGGGAGAGCCACCCATGAACTCTGTGGCTGTGGCCGGCAGAGGGACCCCCGCCCCACCCATCACGGCAAGTTTCCAGCCCCGAAACTGGGCAGCCAGCTTTCCATCTGGGTGGCAGATACAGCTCTGGGGCAAGTCAACAGCTCCAGCTTCCTCTCTTGCTGAGGAGAACCAGCCTGGGGAGGAGCAAGCTAGGGCCATCGCCTCCCTGTCCCGCTAAGCCCCTTCTTCGGGGCTGGGACCCCCTGGCTGCCCCGTGGCAGTTCCTCCTTCCTCCTTCTGCTCAGCCTGTGCCTCCTTCGCTGGATGGGGTGGCCTGGCCGCTAAGGGGGACCAGCAACACTCCTGCCCAGCCAAGCGCCAGGCCCAACTCTCCCTCAACTTCCCAGGGGCTGGACCTGGGTCTCTCAGGCCAGCCTTTTAAGGGAAGTGGGGAAAGGCAGTGCCTGGGCAGCACCTGGAATCCTGCTTCCCCTCCCGTCTCTTTGTTACCCTCCCTCTGCCCAGCTCTGTACCCAGCAGAAGGTAGGCATTTCCTCCTGGCTCTGCTGGGAATTTGGCACACATTTGACACAGGTGTGTGTGTGCGTGTGTGCGTGTGTATCCAACCAACCAGCCCCCCCAAAAGAGGGAGCTCACCCAGGGACGTTCTCTTCCCCAGCCTGCAGCGTTAGCCCCCTCCTGCCTCCCCTGACTTCCCTGGGGAACATCTCTGTGGACACCCGGGGTCAGGCCAGGCCAAGGGCTCAGGTGAACCTGGGTTGCTGACCCCTGGAGTTGAGTCCCAACAGGACTTGAAGGGACTGCTCAGTCTCCCCATGTCTCAGGGGCTGCCCCAAAGAAGAGCGGGGTCGGCCCACCCTCCAAAGCCCCTGAGAGCAGGAGAAGAAGCAACGGATGGAAACTAATCAAGGAGAGAAGCAACCCAGAACGGCGGAGGAATTTCCTGACCGTGAGAACAATTCACCAGTGGAGCAGCTTCCCTGCAGGAGTGGTGGGTGCTCCAACAGTGGAGGTCTTTCAGAAGAGACTGGACAACCATTTGTCTGGAGGGGCATAGGGTCTCCTGCTTGAGCAGGGGGCTGGACTAGAAGACCTCCAAGGACCCTTCCAACTCTGTTATTTTGTTATTCTAGAAACACTGCTTAGCAAGTTCAGAATGGAAAGAAAATACCTCAAAATATGGAACAGTGTCAAATAATGATATACATACTTACCACCATCTTTTTGGAAAAGCCACGTTTATATGAACACAGAAAATAAATAGAAAATATCAGGCTTTCTAACATATGCTGCAAAATGTTTGGCTTTTCAACTACTAAGATGACATTATCTGCATTCAAAAGTAACATCTCCAAAAATATTATTTCTACACATCCATTAATTTATGAAACAAGGAAGGGGGGATTATCACCATTGCTTACCTGCTGCTTGGCCCATTTGCTAAGCATTCCATTTCTTCTCATGCATATTTTACGTCCATCATATACCATTCTTACCACATTCAGCAATCACCTTTCAAATCCATAATTCAAGCCTATTTATTGGTCAAATGTTTTCCCTGCACCAAGCTACTTCAAGGCTAAAACACAGAATTATGGAGGGAGAGAATCCCAAAGGAGGGGAAAAGGGCAACAGACGAAGTAGGTCCTCTCAGCCCCAGGAGCCCCAGGGGGAGGCCGGAGGAGCCGCTCAGCTCTCCTTCCTCCTCCCTCCTCCCTCCTCTGCCTGGGCTAAACAGGACCAGCTCCCCGGAACAGCCGGGGGCGAAGAGGTCCGGTGAGGCTGAAAGGATCAGCAGTTCTTGGCAACCAAGCATCCCTTCCTCTTGGAGGCAGAAAAGCCCAGAGGGATACATCACCCCCACCCCCGCCCCCTTGTAAGAAGGCCGAGCAAAGAGCACCTACTTGGGGGGAGGGGTCTTATGCAAAAAGGAAGCCAGGCGTGGAAAGCAAGGACAGTGAAGAACTGGACTGGAATGAGAAACGGAAAAGGGAGCTCCCAAGCATCTCTCGGGCAAACTAACCAGGTGCTTGGAATCGGGTCGACTGAGTAAACACTAAGTAAACCAGACATGATTATGTTGAGTGCAGAGGACGGGATCCTTTGCAGCAAGAGAGAGATCTGAGAAAGAAAGCAGTCTAGCCCAAATATTCAAAGTAGTGCAAAAAGACTATTTAAAGGATTAGTCGGAGCGGGGCTGGGGCGGGGGGGGGGAGAGGAAGCTCCCATTTAGACAGCAAGCCAACCAAGATGGCCTCAGACTATTCCGGATCAAACGCTGTCCAACCTTTCCTTGAAGTCCTCCCTCCACGGATGGAGGCAGCCTGTCCTACTCAGATAGGGAGGCATAGGAGAGGCCAGGTGAGGGCAGTCTTAAAGGAAGCACTCCACCAAGGTGTGTCTTCCTTTCTCCTTGATTTTATGGCAAGACAGTAAATATTTCCCAAATTCCCATTCACTGTTTCTTTTTGTCTCCATGCTGACCCAACGCCTTGATGCGTCTCATTTGAAAATCTGATTTCGCTCGGGAAAGGCTCAGAAGCCTCTGGGCTGCACGCAGCTTTCCCAGGAGCTGTTGAGGAGGCCAAGAGGCCGGGGTCCCCCTCTCCTGCCTTCTGCAGAAGGGCCTTACCGTCATTGCCAAAGATGCCTGGCACAAACCAAGCTGGACCCCTGGCCAAGCGACTGTATTTAGCACTTCGACCCGACTGCAGCGGAGGGCTTTGGAAACCACTGGCTGCTGGAGTCCGGCTCCCTCCCCCAGACTAGCTCAGGCCCCAGAGGCAGTGGAACCATCCCGTTGCTCCGGACAAGTCAGAAATCTTAAGCAACGTCATCCACATGCAACGCTAAAGGGAGATACGTCAGCTCCTCGCCTAGGAGAAACGTGCACGCCCCTGGAATCGTACCGCACACGCGATGGGAGCAGGACTACCACCTGCTGGTCCAGAAGGCCACTCACCAGTGTCAGCAGTTCGGCAGTGCTGGATGGTGAAGATTTGGCCCAGGTTGTCCTCTTCCTCAGGAAGGCTCTTCTGCAAGCGCTTCAACTTGAGCAAACTTTCACTTCGCTGGTGCTTCATGGAACGTACGTGCTGAATAAGATTGAGCTTGGCCTTGGTGGAGTAGTTGCAAAGGACACAGTGGTAAAAACAGCCTTCCCCCTCCAGTCCGCTCTCGTGGTTCTGAAGGTGCTGCAGAGAAAAGCACAGAACAAACCCATGCCCAGGTGAGCAGCAGAGGAGCAACTGAGCTCCCTCTGGAATCTGGATCTGAATTTCAGACAGGGTCAAAGCCCCAGGGCCCCTTCCCCCCTCTTGGCACTGCAAGGGCATCTCGGGAAGATCTTGGGAGCATCTTGGAGAAGCAAAGCTTCTGCTTTTGAGAGCTATTTGCTTCCAGACTCATCCTGAAGTCACACCCATGCTCACATTGACCTAGGCATATGAATTGCTGGAGGCGGCTGTCTAAGAAGGCTGCTCCCGTATTGAGAAAAAGGAGCCATTCATCTAACAAAGCAACCGGTTCCTTGGGAAGAACCTGGTGGGTTTCCAGTCCACCCACTTTGAAAGCAGCCCTTTCGTCTCTGGATCAGATGCTTGAGACACAAGAACAAGGGAAGGAAAGGAGAAAGCCCCGCTGCCCCCCGTTTGGCACAGCACCCGGCCTCCAATGGCCCAAAGTGAGGCTCCTCAGACGCTCTGCAGGGGAGCCACTTGGTATTGCCAGGCCAGGCACCTTGGACCGTCCTCCAGCCAGCCGCTGGCCTCCCTCTCCATCATCTACTGAAGCAAGGTGGACGAGAGGCTGGCTGGTCGTCACTGAATATGAGTTTTGGGTGATGTACGTAGGCTACCTTTCGGGGAAATGAGCTACATAACCATTCTCCATAGAAGACGGCATCCCTGCTCTCTGGGACTGAACTCTGCATCTGAAAACCATTAAAATGGCTTTATTGTTCCCCAAAAAGCACCCCCCCCCAAAGGATCTATTATGCCTGCCGCAGGTCATGAGGAAACTCCATGCAAACTCTGACAGGACGGGCTGGTCACTCTCTTCAGTCTGGAGGGCCGTATCGCTTCCGCCTGAGAAGCTTCTGGTCAGAGGTTCCTAAGGGTGCCCGGGGGGGGGGGGCTTGGTTCACACACGTGTAAAAGCTGGATCCCTTCACTTGTTGCCCTGGATCAGATAGATCGAAGTCCCATCTGATCTGAATGACGGCCCAGGGCAGGGCAACCTCTGCACAGCACCAGAATCAGCCAAGCACACGGCACTGGGTCAGGAAGGGCAGAGGCGGACACTCTCCCCTGGGTCAGAGGAATGGCCAGCGGTTATCAAGAGGTTGCCTGCGTCCTGCCCAGAAGAGGGGCCAGGTGGGTGTCTTTGGCCCATCCTCCCAGGGTCTCGTGCCAGTGTAGGCGGCCCAGGAGAGGGCAGAGAAAGGGAGGGCCAGGCTAATGGCAGCCCCTGCCACCTCGACTCTCAAACAAGCAGCCCCTTAGAAGGACGGGCGGAGGACAGAAGCCAGCTCGGCAGGGTGATGGTTTTATTGGTTTCACAGAAGTTAGATTTCTTCTGCACCCAACCAAGCAAGGCAGAGGAGCCCCTCCTCCCCTGCTCTCAGGTGGGACGGGAGGGTGGCAGCAGGCCAAGGTACTCACAGGTAAGCCCCCCCCCCCAAATAACAGGCCCCTCCCCGTTCAGTGGTGGCCACTCCCCACCCCACCCGCTTTGCTCTAAGTCTTGTAGTCATCAGAGCCGGATTCAAATCCCTCTCCCATCCCTCACAGATAACTGGCTGGTGGGATTTTGCTCCGCCTTCCAAGCCTCATTAAAAGCCTACATTGCTCAGCCTCGAGATGGAAAGCTCAGCATAGATTTTACTGAATGTTAAATCAAGCAGCAAGCACAGCCAGCAAACTCTGTGGCACTTTAACTTTAAATAATGCAATAATTATTGAATTTCCTTTTTATAACTGAAGTGCTGGAATGTAAACAATGGGGCTGTAATTGCAGGAAGGGGGGATCAATAGAGGCAATCGTTTTCAGCCATGTTAATTGTAAATACAATTGCTCCAAGATGTCAGCCTTGTTCCTCTCGCTCCAGAATCACCCTAACGGATGACAGAGTCCAACTTTCCCATTATAGCTGTTCGTTCCTTTAAGAGGTTCTCAATCAGGTCTGATCAATCTGTCAAGATAATGCATGGAGTAAGTAAGACTCTTCCAAACACAAATGCCCAATCAATAGCCCCAACCAGCTTAATGAGGAGGGGCTACAGCCCCCAGGGAGGCAAGAGCCAGCTTCAGCCGGCCAGCTAAGCAGATCGACCCTTAATGAGGCCGCCCTGCAGGCCGATGCCGAGGGCGGTCAAGACCCTCTCCAGGGACAGGCTGGAGGGCCCTGGGCAAGGCTCCGCATTGGCCCTTCCAGGGGACAGGAGACCCGGCAGCTGTGACATCGGCTCTCTTCTCCTGGCCTCCTCAGCTCCTGAATTTGGCCCTGTGACTGCAGCCCCTAAAATGCAACCGGAAACATCTGCCTCAGGATTCTTCCTTGATTGGTTTAGGACACCATAACACCTCAGCCTTCAACAGGGTGGCTTGCCAGATGTAGCCCATCCTTGCTCGGCTTCAAACAATGGTGATTACCCCACGGCATCATTTTTTTTTATTTAATGTATATCCCACCTTTATTATTTTTATAAATAACTCAAGGTGGCAAACAACAAGAAGCCAGTGAAGTGAGTTGGGCTGAGAAAGAGAGCTTGGCCCCAAGTCACCCAGACGGCTTTCATGGCTAAGGCTTTCATTTCAGTACTTAGCAGTTCACATCTGCTTCCTTTGTACATTTCTCCCTCCCTCCCTCCCCGCTCTCACACAGTGTCCTACTAGAACCTAGCAGAATTTCTCTCTTAGATACACACACCATGAGTGGCTCAAGCTTGTTCCAACTTAGGGAAGTTTTGAGCACATGTCAAGGAGCTCCTTGAGGTTCAAGTACCTCTCATCAAACAAGCCATGAAAACTAAGCCTTTTGCTCAGGGCCCCAAGAAAGCAAGGCCACGGGGCCAAGACTGTTGATTACTGCAACTTCTGTAGGCATCGCAAGACCCACAAGCAGGTCAACATGAAGAAAGGTACTCATCCCACAGGAAAAAAAGAGCTACAGTCTCCTTGGGTTCCAGGACTTCAGCCTGAGAAAGTCCCCACCTGTAGGTAAAAGGAGAAGCCGCTCAGGAAGAGATGGACAGCTGTGGAGACCTTGGTTATTTGCTTCCAGGCATTTCACTACCCAACTAGATAGCATCAGCAGTATGAATGAATGTGGAGTTTGGTCGCTATTTATATACAGTAGCTTGGCCTGCCATTCAAAAGGGACAATAAAAAAAAAAGAAGGAAACAGACCAGGACATGTCCTTCCCAGCAGCCAATGTCCAGATAAATGGGGACGAACATCAGATAAACAATCACACAGAAAACGATTCCCTAATCAAGAAGAAAACCGTGTCTTCACCAAAACTGGAAGAGCAAGCTACTGCACGTAAACATACAGTACCTCACATTCACTCACACTGATGTTGTTACCTAGTTGGGTGGTAAAATGTCTGCAAGCAAACAATCAGGCGCAGAGAACACCAAGGATTCTACAGCTAAACCATAGGTTACTTATATTCTTTTCTTTCAGAGATAGACAACTCTCCATCAAGGAGACTTATCTCGATATAGCAATTATTTTATCAGAGTTACCAGCTGTCGTGTGCAGCTTAATTTTTTGCCTGAAATAAGAATTATCAATTACAATTACAAGCAATTACACGAACAATCCTGCCTTAAATTCCTACAGCAACAGCCTCTGGCAGGATTCAAGAGATCTGTAATCAAACAGCCTTGAGAATATTTGGTGAATAAAATAAAGGATAGTTGCACCTCAAGCATATGATATTTAAAAACACCCATTTGGCTGAATATCAATGAGAATTAGTTGACCCGAAAGGAATAAGATTCCCACGGTGCCTATTCTTTTTCTTATTAGCTCTCAGAAGACCTAGCACCCAGCGTCTCTGAGGAAAAGGCTGTCAGAACCTAAATGCTTGGAGAAGAGACTCTGCTGAAATATGTAGGCCAAAAATTCAACTCCCGGCAGGTCCTAGCCCTCTGGCCCTTTCCTCAGCCCCCACTGTTCTAAGCAGGAGGAGCTTTCTCTGCCTTGAATTGACTTCAAATGTAAGCAGCCGCAATGTGAACCCCTGTATCGATGGGCACTGACCAGGCCCTCGGCTAGCAAAATCCTTGGTGCCTCCAGGATCAAGGAAAGATGTGTCGCCATATCAACTATTGGAGAAGAACACGGCATGATCTGCTGGAGGTGTCTGTTCCTTGGGCCTTGTGGAGACAGGAGGCAATAGGTTTTTATTCCGTTTCAGTACCTGTCTGAGTAGGATCAGATCTAGCAATGCAACACCAAGTGAGAAAGCGGGTTCCTGGGCTGCCATTGTGTGCCAAGAGCTGTTTAATTAGAGAAAAAGGAAGGTGGCCGTGTGTCCTTCTGCCTGATGTGTAAGGTCACTGGAAAAAGGCAAAAGAAGAGGAGTGGAGGGCTGGCAGCTGCAGCTTTCCACTGGAGCCTGTCCACTGTCAACACCGGCACCTACTAATGACAACGAAGCCTCCAACTTAAATAACTGGGTGGACGTCACACTGCATGTCGGGATTGAAGTCTCCATGGAGCTGCTTTTGTTGAAACATCAGGACATCAGCAGGACAGGCGTGTTGTGGGGCACGAGAAAATGGAAGAAAACCCACCCAGATTCTCTCATAGTGCTCAGCCAAGGGACTTACTGCTCTTTAGGAAACTCAGATGCAACACCGGACTCATCCCAGACCAAGACAATAAACCAATTTGGTAGGACATTAATTAGGGAAGCTGGGGAGGGGGGAGAAATTATACCCCATGCAAAACTAGCTTCCTAAAGTTCTTGATATTGTCTGAAATAGGCTTTGAACTATCTCGCCAGCAGTGAACCATCCTGAATAGGATTCGCACCTCACACAGCATCTGCTAGGTCCCTGCCTAAACGGGGCCCGGCATCCTCCCCTCAGGGATGACTGCAGGGCTCCCCTGTCAAACTAGATCCCACTGTGACTGGCTGTAAGCCAAGGGCATCTACTGGTCCAGGCTGTGCTTCAATGG